ACACTGACACTCACCTCATGATGACTGCCTGCTTCCTGGGCCCCGTTAATGATCTGATTTTAGTCTTGGGCAGAGAATAGGAAGAGAAAAGCCCTAGATTTTTTGCACTGGGGCATTTACTGTCACTTCTCATCATCATGTACATAATCCTGTCCACATTTGCGGAAGATTAATTAATAAAAATGAATTCTTAGTATAATACAAGGCAAATATTTCATCGAAGAGTGACATTAAGAGGTTTGGAGTTTTCTTTAGTTTCTGATATTTCTCTTTATGTAGAAATGACTTCCTTTAATCTTGAAACATTGAAACTTGCTGCAAATACATGTAACCGATACAATAGTCTATAGTTTATCTTAGTTATCTTTGTATGTGAAAATAAAAGCAGGTGGCTTTTGTGCATTGGTGTGACATTAATATACATGGGGCTCTTTCTTCTTGCATCCATTTGTCTATTCTACAAATATTTATTGAGCACCAGCAATATTTTGTCTATATCCAGGTAGAGTAAGCAGTGAACATATATTCTGATGGCAATCATGAAGTATTTTTTGGTGAAACTAATGATTATTGGCCCCAAAACTTGGGAACACTTTCTGGGGAAGGTAATAACATGGGCTGTTGAGATTTTCTCTCTGATTAACTCTGTTCCAGAGGGGGCCACCTAAACATTTGGGAGTCTCTGTGACTCTTTAGCAACTTTTATTCCGAACACTTGGAAAGTCGAGGACCTAAGTTGGCCCTTGCTTGGGAGGATTGCCTGAGGCCAAGTTTGAGTCCAGCCTGGGCAACATAGCCAGACTCCATGTCAGGAAAGAAAAAGAAAATAAAATTGAGGACGTGAATAAATCATGTTTTCTGTTTAACAAAATTCATGGAGTATTATGTGCGCCGTGGTGTTTTAAGCTCTTCATAAATATTAACATCTTAATTTCATTCCATCCTTTGTAGTGGGCAGTAGGAGCCTTCTCATTTTCCAAAGGAGGGAACTGAATAACTTGCCCCAGGTTAGCCAATTAGTAAGGACTCAAAGCTCTCACCACTGCCCTGTCACTTTCTCCATCTGAGGGGGGTGATTGGGTTTTCCTTCCTTGCCTTGGCCTTTCTTTGAAAGCTTAAGATTATTATCTACAGCCGGGTTTAGCGTCGCTACAGGAAGTGGGGGGCCCCTGGCATGTGGCGCCCACTCTGTGAGATCCTCGTAATTCTTTCACATTTCATTATGCATTCTGTTTAAGCTGTGTAAGTGGAATGTGTTTAATTTTACTTAATTATGTGTTTCTCTTGGTCCTGCTAGACAGTCTGTAAATTCCTTGAAGCAAGAAACTGGAAAATAGATACGTTGGACAAATAAGTAATAGAGTATGGTTTGTTGCAAATTCTAAAGCTATTAGATCTGTTCACTCAGAATGGAGGGTCCCCCCTCCTCTGTAGGACTGCGTAATAGTTTAATTTAGCTGTTTATGAATGTTTAATTGTGTCCTAAACAATAGGACAATTGAACAATAGGTCAGAATGCATTGGTGGAGTAATAAAGCCCTGGGGGCGATACTATTTAAAACCCAGCATGTCCAGTGTATGGGCACCTCGGCACGAATGTCTTTCAGCCGCAATACATTTTGTTCTTACCTAGGTAGCAATTGGATGTTTCTATGTAATAATTCTCCTACATCTCGGGGAACTTCTGATTATTTGAGGATACAGTGCTTCCATCCCCCCGAATCCTCAGGAGGTTTGGGTCTGTTTCAGGGAAATGCTCTTCTGTATTCTCAATTCTCATCCCCCCTCATTTGCTGCCAGGACCCTGTCTAGAACCTGCCCCATCCCGACCATTTCAACCTTTGTTCCCGGGCCCCAAATAGTTCCTTAATGTTCTAACGCTGCTTCTGAAGTCCTGTTACTTTGGCAAATTAGAAGAGAAATAATCTGGCCTCATCTTTGTTTCTTCTTATCATCCTGGATGATGTTTGACGCACGTCCATTGCGTATGTCACCCTCACTTTGATTTTAGCGGGCTGATTTATTCTGCACATGAAGTGCACCTGAGTCTTTCAGGTTTATGCTTGCAGTTTGAGCAGGGAGCTTGCTTAGCACAGTAAACATCAGCCTCGTTTATTTTGTTTAAGGAAGAGTTTATCACATGTAGACGAATAAGAAATAAAATGTTACTATGTTTATAGTGGTTTGCCAGGGCTGCCGTAATAAAGGATCGCAGACTGGGGGGCTGACACAACACCGATTTATTTTACCACGATTTTGGAGGCTGGACGTGTGAGATCAAGGTGCCAGCAGGGTTGGTTTCTTCCGCAGCCTCCGTCCTTGGCTGTCGATGGCTGTGTTGTCTCTGGGTTTTCACATGGCTGTCCCTGCGTGTGTATCTGTGTCTCCATCTCCTCTCTGATGAGGACACGAGTTATGGATTGATAACTCAGTCTGTGGATTGACAACTCAATCCATGGATTGACACCACCACTCAAATGGTATCATTTTAACTTGATCACTTCTTTAAAAACCCTCTCTTGAAATGTGTTCTGAGGTTAGAACTTCAACATGTGAATTCTGGAAGGACACAGTTTGCCCGTATGTTTTTTCCCCCTTTGTTTTGAGATAGGGTATCACTCTTGCTTCCCCGACTGGAGTGCAGTGGTGTGATCATAGGTCACTACAACTTCAAACTCCTGGGTTGAAGTGAGTCTCCTGCCTCAGCCTCCTGAGGAGCTGGGACTTTAGGCATGTGCCACCGTGTTCAACTTTAAAATAATTTTTGTGGACACAGGGGTTTTGCCATGTTGCCCAGGCTGGTTTCTTGAACTCCTGGCCTCAAGCAGTCCTCCTGCCTCAGCCTCCCAAAGTGCTGGGATTACAGGCATGAGCCACCCATCTAGCCTGGAATGGGGTTTACATATATAACACAGTTTTCTTAAACTTTTGTGAAAAAATTAAGATAAAAATTCTTTTGGAAACTTAAGATGGACTAGGGAAGATATAGCATTCTGAAAGAAAGAGAAATGTAGGCTCTCGTGGTAATCTGGCTTAGAACTGGCTACGGGTAAATTTTAGTACTGATTTAGGGTAAATTTTACCATAATTCATCTTTTGTCTGTACTTTGCCAATATTTTGTAGTCAGGGAAATCTGAAGTTCCTTTTAAGTGTCTCTAAGATTCTGTGATTCTATTTTAATAACTATTTTATAATTTGACCTGACTGCTGATTTTAGGAAGATGTCTGGAGAAAAATTTTTATAATCCTGTATTATAATCTCCTATTTACCAAATGGAACCTACAAGAATGCAGCTTGATTTGAATCCAAGCTCTTTTCTTCTGAATCAAGCTGAAGAAAATGACTTAAAAATCTTTCCCTTGACATCTTACCAGCTGCGTGGTCTGGGACAGTTACATACTAGCTATGTAATCATGTACCCTCCATGAGACTTAGTTTCATTACCTATAAAGTGGGAACAGAATGGTTTACAGACTGTCCTCCAGTCTTCACCCTGGTCCCTGTTGCCTGCTGCAGAAAGTCGTGACCCCTGCTGACCTGCCTGGCTTTCACTGCTGGCCAGACTCACATGCCACAGAGGTCACTTGTGGCTGGAGGCTGTCAGAGGAGGAGCTGGGTTTAGATCCATGTCCCCAATCTCTCTTGCTGGGTGACAGAAACCCCTCTGCTAGACAGATGTCATTTCAGGGGATGGATTGGCTCCAAGTGGTTGCCATCGGAAATGACATTTTTTCTTCCTACTTCTTCCTGTATTTGATAACCTCACATGGTTATCAGAAAACTGTTCTTCTGATATCTTATCAGGAGGCCAATGGTGAAAGTTTATGGAGAAGAGATATTTTAGCTTCACACATCAGTTTTTAAGATCCATGGACTTTAGCATTGCTAAAAATACATGTTGGACCTTGTGCCTACTTTTTTAGCCCAGCAAAATACCCACGTGACACCCCTTTTGCAGGGGTTAGGTAAATATTTGTGTGTGTGCAAATGTGTTTTTGCATTGCAGGGTGGGCAGCAGCAGGCCTTCCATAGACTTTTCTAGTTAAATGAAGTGTTTCCTTGTGTTGGGATCAAATTTATGTAGACCTAGTCTTTTAAACTAAGGTGACTTTTGTAGTTAGGCTTGAATAGCTGAGTTGATTGAGGGTGAAATTTTATATCAGTAAAACTATTAAAACAAGTTGATCAGAGAATTCCTTGTATAGAAATAAAGATTTGTAAGAAATTTTTCAAATACAAACCCCAAATACCAACAGTGGTACCAGAGAAAGGCAATGTTAAGTAGGTTAGCTTATGGAAATTTTTCCAGATGAAATACTGTGGCCAAAAATGTTTTAATACTCATATATAATGACTAAGTGGGTAATCTTTATTTCTCTCTATAATGATTTGTTCTTAGAAAACTGGTCAGAGTAATGATTGCCAGCATTCCCAAGGAAGGTTCTATTCTATGACTACCCTTTGGGAAGGAAGGAAGAGTTTTCAATCTTTTTGTGACCATACATCAAAGAAGATTTTGATTGGTTCTGCTTGAGTCACATGATCATAGCTAAACCCATGACTGGCTGTTGTATAGAGCTTTGTGAGCTGCCTGGTCATGAACCAATCACTGTAGCAAAGCAACTTGATTGGCAGGTCCCGTACCTGGGGTGGAAGGGGTGATTTCCCAAAGAAAGCACTGTTTGCATCTAGTACAGCTAACTAGCATTTTTCAGCCAGCTGGGGGTTAGTGTTGATTTCCTTAGTTTATGGGGAGTGAGAGATAACTATCATTGACTTGTGCTGGATTCATTTGAGAGTTTTTAGCTGGATGTTTAAAACCTGTTTGAGAGAAGTAGTTAAGCCAAAGGGGCCCATCAAGTGGAATATGCATTTTATAGGTAACCAAATAGTGGGAGCATGATGGATGAGTGATTGCTGAGATTGATTTCAGTGTGGGCAATTTTCTGGCTGAAGGAACAAAATGACAATAATGGCCTTTCTGGTTGCTTTCGGTAGGGTTAGATGACTGCCTGCAACAGTATGTCCACAAGTTTGAGCGAGAGAAGATCAATGGCGAGCAGCTGCTGCAGATTTCCCATCAGGATCTGGAGGAGCTGGGGGTCACACGGATCGGACACCAGGAGCTTGTGTTGGAGGCTGTCGATCTTCTCTGTGCACTGGTTAGTTCAGGAAAAGGTGATCCGTACTGTGATGACAGTCTTCGGAACAATCTTCTCTTAAATCCTCATTGTTCTGTGTATGTTTTAGCATATCATCACTTTCTTAATGACCTGTTGAAGTAAAGCATGAGTTGAAAATGATATAAGAAGGGAAAAAATAAATTATTTCCTAGATTAAGGGTTGGTGAACCATGGCCTGCAGGTTAAACCTGGCCCACTGTCTGTTTTTGTAAATAAAGTTTTATTGGCACACAGCCATACCATTCATTTGTATGTTATCTGTGGCTGCTTTCATGCTATACTGACAGAGTTGAGTAGTCGTGACAGAGGCCAGGTGGTCCCCCAAAGCCTAAGAAAGCCTATAGAAAATCATCTGTATTAGTCTTAATATTTGTTATAAAGAACAAAAAGATGGAAATACTCCTGAATGAAAATGTCATCTTCTAAGTTGAAATAAGAAATGAGTTCTTATTTTCATGCCTGTTTTTGTTACTTACCATAAAAAGCATTTGAGTTTCACAGATATTTGTGGTATTTAAATAACTCATGTTTGGGTTTGACATGGTCAACCTAAAAAATGGTAGCAAAAATGGGGGGAAAAGGTGAACTTCATTACATTCTGCAGATGATTGAGCTTTGGCCATGGTACGAGTTGAGTTCAATCCTGCTGGGTCCTAGTGCTGACATCACACCAGTGACTGCATGGGTGGCTTCAACTGTGGGCTCAAAACACCTGTAAGGGCAGTTAGTTTATAAACTGACTGGCATGGCTCGCATGCTAAAGATGCCGCTAACTGAACTGTCAGGATTTGGACAAACTCCACAGCATTCAGGCTGGGTTGGTAATGCTCTGAACCCGAGCCAGGGCGATATACAATTACATCACTGAGAATGGTGGGAAAGAATGTGCTCCTGATTATTTTGCCATTCTGGTCTGCGTTCTGTTGATTATATAACACTTGCCGCATTGTGCGTATTCTTCTTCTTAAAATGGACAGGGCCTTGTCTGCTCTCTGAGATGCACTGCTCTGTTTAGGAAAGTAATGGGGAAATTATTTGTGGTTGATAAATGAGCTGCCGCAAGGGAGACGCTCTGGCCAAGTGCTCTGAGCACTGGTCTGGAAAGCAGGAATTTGCATTCTAATCCTGGCCCTGCCACATGCTGCTACTCCCAGTGTGACCTCTGGGGAAACCCTGGTGTCTGTTTTTCCCATCTGTGCAGGAACACTCACCTTAGATGCAGCCTTAGATGCATGTTGAATGATCTGCGCTGCTGAGAAGATTTCACAGCGTCCTGTTTGTTATTAAAACTGTATATTTTTTGTATGGTTAAACATGTTTGAGTTTACTTTTATGACACTTTCCAGGAACACGGTTTTCTGGTCTTTTCTGCTGGATGGTCTGCAGATTTGCATTGTCTCTTTCCCTTTGCAGTAAAACTTTCAGGACAGATAAATCCGCAGCGTCAGAGGGGAGGAGGAAGGCAACTGGGTGAGGCCAGGGTGATGATAAACACAGCCGCTGCCTCTGGGCGTTCGCTTGGTTTTTTCCTCTTCCTTACCTCTTAAACATTAAAAAAAAAAAAAAATGAATAAAACTGGACAGATGCCAGAACCCAAAGCTGTGTGTTACCTCCTACAATTTCCTTCTAATTTCCTTTGCAGACCCCTCTGTGACCTCAGACTCACTCTGGACCTGCTTTGTGTAGGACTGTGCTGGGCAGGGGATCACTCGGGGGCTCCCAAATGCATGTGGTTTTTCTGGGCTGGGGAGGGTTTTAGTGAAGTTTTGCTGAAGCATCTTTAGTCTTGATGTAGTCTCCTTTTTAGGTATTCTTGCTGTAATTCATGTACTAATTATACTGTATCTATTTATATACCATATTTATCTGTGGATATATAAACTGGTGATACCTTTTGCTTTGACTGGGCCACCCCCTGGGCAGTTCGTGTGTGAGTGCAGTTGGCCCTGGGGTGGTCAAAGAGGCTTTTGTAAACTTAGTTCAGTGGATGTTGATTTTGTGATAGACAGGAAATGAATAGAATTAGAAGTAAAGCGGGGGGGGGGGGACAAAACTGCTGGAAAGTTTCAGAGCAAAGAGCAGGGTAGATAGAAGGGTTTAGAGCTAAGAGAGGAAACAGCGAAACAGCTATTGATGGAGATTTGTAACTTTGTGAGCAGTGGCTCACGAATAGCTGATCTTGGTTAGAGAGCCAGGAGAGAAGCCACCTGCTGTGAACATGGAGCTTGGCTGGCAGCAGCAGCTTAGGAGAGTGACATGTGTCATGAGGTGGGACCAGGGCCACTCCCAGGGCTGAATGAGAATCTGTACCTAAGTTTTCTCCCTCTTATCTGGGGAAGGTGCCTGAGACAGATGAGAGAGCTGCTCCTTCTGGTAGGGTAGCTGTTAGCTAGTGTGACTATTTAAATGAAAATCAATTAAAGTGAAATAAAATTCAGTTCCTCAATTGCATTAGCTACATTTTAAGTGTTCAATAGCTACATGTGGCTAGTGGCTACCATATTTGGCAGCACAAAGACATTTTTATCATTGAAGAAAGTTCTACTGGGCAGACTGGTTGAGAGTAACCAAGTATGACTATAACCTGTGTTCTTTGCCAAATCAGTGAGGCCCCAGTTTACTGACAACCGAGGCAGCGGTGGGGGTGGTGGTGGGTGAGGGAAGCTGTGTTTTTAAGGTTGAAGAAGGCTGAGAAATGAACACAGTTGGAACTGATTCAGTGTGAAGTGATGCTACCTAAGTGTGTGGTTAAAGGAAATACCTCTATCGCTTCTCCGCCTTTTGGCTAAGATCAAGTGTAAAGGCAATACCTCTAATGGGCCTACGTGACCAGAGCACTTCTGTACAGGGGTACCACCCGGGGATGTTTGTTGTTCCTCATCTACCCAATGGCATAGCCTTTAAAAATGTTACTTCTTTTTATGAAAAGAATTCAGGCAGGAAGGGGAATCTTTGCTAGCAATTTGTATTTAACTTGATTTTGCTTATGAACTTATTTAAATGCCTTTAGGAAAACTGTCAGGTGTATTTGTCAGCCTGTCACTTAACTGACCCAGGTCACTAAGATGCTTTGACTGTGTGTCTCTGGCTCCCTTCGATCATGAACAGAACTTGTGGGAAGGGAGGTGAAGATAGAGAGGTTATATAAGGTTTGTTCGTAGTAAAAACGTGTATAATTTTAAGGGACCCAGGAAAGTGAGAATCTGGTCTCTCCCGTCCAGTGTACGACCTGTGGCTTCTTTAGCCAGGGCAGGAAGGGAATCCCTGAAGGCTAATTCTGAAGGAAGTGATGTCTCAGTGGAAGGGTTTTAACATATGATTAATAGATTTTCAGAGACTCACTTGGATACTTAATTTGTATCTTTTTGATGAATTACCTTAAAGCAATTCCTACAGGAGACAGGTTTTAGGGAAAAGACTGGTGAAAATAATTAGTCTGGCCTGAGAAATTATTCATTTCCCTTGTTTGTAGGGTACTTAAGTCAATAATCCTTTCCTGATTTTGTTTCTACAGTAGGGGCTCTTTGGAGCTAATATAATCAGTTTCTTGTTCTCTCCTTATTGTGGAAAGGGGTTGAAGGGGAAGGAACTTTTCTTCCTAATTTTCCTCCTTCCTTCTTTTAAAACTTGCATCCTGTTTTAGCTGTACCCATCCATCATTTTAGTCCCATTCGTTGTTTTGGGAAAAAAGGAAAATCGGGGCAAACTGAGTGGAAAATGAAGAGAGCCTCTTAAAGGAAGCCACCCTTCTCCCTTTAATATTAAAAGTGGTAGGTTTGTAGAAGATTGAGCTTTAGAGTTTTTTGCAGCAATAAAATGCATGTAACCCTCTTTGAGTTCAAGAAGTGAGTGTTGGGTATAGTATGAAAGTCCCATGTCTTTTATGATGACATTGATTATTGAAAGCTGACTTGCCTGTTTTTCGTGCTGAACCCTTGATAGAAGTTGGCAGGCTACTTGTTGGAGGGGAGGGGACATTTCCCATTAATAGAAGTCATAGGTCCTTCAGAACAAGCTGTCATGGGGGCTCTTTTTTCCATTCAGTTTTAAGTCTTTGATTCTTTGAATTGAAAAAGCCATAATGAAAAACTTTTTATTTTTGTCTTTTCTACTGAAGGCCAATACCATTTTTAGTCTCTAGAAAATGCCATCTAAAAGAATGAATATAAGATTTGGACTTAAAATACAGAACACGCCTATTTTGATATCTACAGTTTTTTCCAAAGCTTTTCGAAGGCAGCTTTCAATTAATTCCATCACCTAACTTCTTTCAGCATTTCTATCTGCATATTTTTAAAATTATTTTTTACTAGGAAGCAACATAAATATAAACTTCTAATGAAATCTATTTAAATGAGAATTATGTTCATTAAAACCTTTTGTGGTGATTAACTTATCACTGTTCATCTTGCAAAAAAAAAAATTCTCACAAACTTTCCAAGTATATTCGTCATTTGTGTATCTTGATTTTGAATCATGGCCTGCCCGTCTCCGACCCAGATGGTGGGAGGGCCGAAGCCAGTGGAAAGAAGCAGGGAACATGCAGAGGAGACGGAGCAGGTCGGGAAGTAGTATGTTTTGGGGAGTTAAGCAGCTTGTTGCTTTGTGCTGGGTCCAGGATCTGGGCCAGTTTTCTTTATTCTTGTCACTCGTGCATTTTGTTTTCTGCCTTTCTTGGGCAAAGTGTGGGAGGGGAATGCAAAGCCTGGGGACCCAAAGCTGGTGCCCTGGAGGTGGGTTGCCTTGATCAGAATTCCCAAACCACCACTGCTTAGCTGTGTGAGTTTGGAGAATTTCTTCATTGCTCTTCTGCCTCAGTTTCCTCTGTAAATAGAGATAATAACATTTCCACTGTCATGGGCTGTTTCCCTGAGATGTAATACACATCAGACAGGCCTGTTCCTGGCATAAAGTATTCAATAATGCTAGTCAGTATATTAGTCTGACTTTTTAAATGGTTCTAGATTCTTGTTTTGAACACTATGGAGACGGTATAATGCACCTCCAGACATACCTCCACATTTGTTGAAATGATAAAACCATGGGGGACGTGGACACGTGGGTCACAGTGTCATCTCAGGTGTGTGTTACCTCCTGATGTTCGTTCTTCCTCTGAAGGGAACCGAAGACAATATCATCCTGTGAAATGAATTTTTTTTTAAAAAGCGCCCAAGTAAGTTGAACACTGTTCAAAAAAACACAGTTTTCAAGCTCCAGAGGGGGGAATTGCATTTTAGTGAATGGGTGTTTAGTTAGTGCTGCTGTGTTTCTGTGTGAGTCTCGTCTGATGTGAGTTCCTCTGTCCCATGACTATACTGGGGTCTGCATGCAGCAGTGAGCAGTATGCACAGACCCTGCTGGCTGGCACCTGCCGTCCCAGTGAACACAGTGATTCAGGTAGGGGCTGATTCACCCCGGAGGATACGTGGCAATGCCAGAGATGCTTTTGGTTGTCACAGCTGGGCAGGGGACACTAATGACATTGGATGATGTAGAGGCCAGAGGTTCTGCTCAACATCCTGCAATGCCTTAGAACCCCTGTCCCCACAACAGAGATTCTCTGGCCCCAAGTGTCAGTAGGGCTGAGGTTGAGAAACTCAGGTGTGGATTAAGTGGCTGGGGCAGGCTTGCAGAGCAGGGGCATCTGAGCCAGGACTTGAAGAATGAGAATGAGCCATCCATGCCAAGCCTCGAGGGAAGAGCATTTTGGGAAGAGGAACTAGCAGGGAGGCTCAGAGCAGGCTGTGTGGTGAGCAGAGAGAGGGCCAATGTGGTCAGAGAGGGCACAGTGGCTGCGGGCAGGTGAGGCAGGATGTTGGGGTGGTTGTAGGAGTTACCCAGGTTACTCAGTGGGCTTTTGAGTTATTATGAGAATTTGGACATTGTGGATGGTTTTGAATTTTTCCCTTTGATTTTATTTTGCATAGAATTATGGCCTTGAAACTGATAATATGAAGAACTTGGTTCTGAAGCTGCGAGCTTCTTCCCACAATTTACAGAATTATATAAGTAGCCGGCGGAAAAATCCAGCTTACGATGGGAACACTTCCCATAAGCCCCCCAACGAGTTCCTGACATCCGTAGTGGAGCTCATCGGTGCTGCTAAGGCTTTGCTGGCGTGGCTGGACCGGTGAGTTGTGGATGGTCTTTTGTTTACTCTGTTATAGAATAGGGCCCGAGATGCATGGAAAACTGTTCGAAGAAAATGTTCGACTTCTCCATTGAAAATAAAACTTAGATCAGCAGGATACAGAATCCTTGGATGAAAATCATTTTTTTTTAAAGAAAATTAAAGACAGATAACCACCCTCCTCTGGTTTGAAAAGTTTCAGTGAAATTGAAATATTTATAGTCTTAATAGGAGGTTTTAATATTTAACGAACTGTAATGACACCTCTATAGATAGAATTTAGTAAGAATATAGAATATATAGAATATTGGAACAGTACCGTCAACGGGCTCCATATAATAGATGGACGTAGAACCCTGTACCCAACAATTGAAGAATACACATTCCTCTCAGGCATGTATAGATCACTTATGAAAATGAATCGTGTATTATAAAGCAAGGCAAAAATGCAAGTCCCAATAAATTCCAAAGAAGTAATGTCCAAAAAAAATTTAAAAAAGAAAATGAACGATTGTCCCTTTCCTGTCATTTTTATGGAACCTGAGGACTCCTGGATCAGGGGTAGATTTTTGGATTCTTTTTCAAGTTGCTGAAGGAGTTAATGTCAGGAACGAGTTAACCTCAGCTTAGAGAAAAGCGAAAGGTCGTGTTTAACTGAGATTAAACATTGATGGTTGAGTATTTGATTGGTGTGAAGTCTGTTAGTGGACTTCCGAAGGGATGTTCACTCTCCTGGATCATTTTCGATGTGTTTTTACCTAGTACGTCTCCTTTTCTATTCAGATTTGTGTTGTATGTGTTAATTGAGAAGAAACAATTATATAACAGATAATTTAAACTAGCCCACGGGGTAGCTCTGCTTGTCAGTGAACAGAGCCTTGTGGGATCCCAGTGGGTCCTCTCTACCTTGTTTAAAATGAGATTATTGTTACTTCCTAGGGCTCCATTTACAGGGATCACTGATTTCTCAGTAACGAAGAACAAAATCATTCAGCTGTGCTTGGACCTGACCACTACAGTCCAGAAGGTCAGTAGTACATTATTATATATTGTTATCACTTTCTAAAATTCTTCTTGCTTTTTCTTCAAAGGATTTTCATGCAGGTACGACGTACCATTCTCTCTTCCCCTTTTTGTTCTCCTCAGAGTTGGAGAGAGATGAAAGGCTTTAAAGTTAGATTCATTGTACAGATGGTTTCTGTGAAAAAACGACCAGTGGCCTTTGAATCAAAGATTGCTTTCTTTTGTTTTAATATAATTGAGCAGACAAGTGCTCTAAAATGTTTGAGCACTTAATTTTTGTTTTAATAGAATTCTAGGCTGGGTGTGGCAGCTCACACCTTTAATCATAGAACCAAGGTGGAAAGATTGCTTGAGATCAGGGGTTCAAGACCAACCTGGGCAACATAGTGAGACTCTGTATCTACAAAATTTTTTAAAAAATTAGCTGAATATGGGCACATTCCTGTAGTCCCAGCTACTCAGGAGGCTGAGGCGGGAGGATTGCTTGAGCCCAGGATTTTAAAGTTTCAGTGAACTAAGTTTGCACCACTGCACTCCAGCCTATCTCAAAAGAAGAAAAAAAAAAAAAAGAAATTCTGGAGTAACTATATTGCACTTATCTTTGTGCTGAAGACTTTACTGTAATCTGCTTCTTAACTTTCTTCTCATTTTGACCTCTGGTTATTTGATTTACCTGTCAAGATGGGCTGGGTTATAAGGAGAATAACAAATAAGCCCCCAGCCCCAGCAGTTTCTTCCTTTTACTCCTTGATTATTTATATCTAAATGGGTCAGTGGGAGTGGGGCGGCCTGCTCGGATTCTCCCTGCTTCAGGACATAGGTGACAGAACCACTGGTATCTCATGTCGCTTGTCCCCAGGGCAGACAGACAAAGAGCCTTAAAGGTTCCCACACTGGTAGATGTTACAGTTTGGAAGAGACGCATGTCAGTTTTACTCACCGCTCACTGGCCAGACCTGTGAATCTTAGTAAGGGCCGGGAAAGTTACACATCAGTCTCTAACTTATCTGGTTCCTGTGAGCATGACTTTTTAAATAATTTCTTTATTAAAGAAGTTGGACCATCAGCTCTGAGGACCCTCTTCGGTCCTGTTAGTCATCAACAGATACTTGTAAAATATTTTTGAGTTGAATCGAGGCTACAAAATGTAAGGAAGAGCTTGTGTTTTCATGTCCCACGTGGTTCTGAAATTCTGTGATTTCACATTTGTTTCCGCTGCTGATTTGGTAAAGTAAAAAGAACATCCTTCCCTTGATCCTGACCATGCCGGACAGAGGTACAGTTCTGAAAAGCCGAGTGTTTTCTGTCTGTTTTTGGAACATGAATTGTGAACGTTAGCTTTACACATGACAGTCGTTTGAGATCTAGTCCTGAGCAGCCACTGGGCTTGAGGCTACGATCTTGGAGGCTCAGAGCAGCTAGTGTGGGTCCGTGGTTTGCTCTGTACTTGGGGCATGTAAAGTAACTGACATATGGAGTCTGATTCAGTGGTGCTGCGTTAGTCATGTAGCCCTGGAGGCCTGGCGTGTTAGGGAAGGGATTCCCCTGATATGCGCCTTGACCGCTGGTTTTCTTCCCACCTCCCTTATTCTTAACATTCCGCCTTCTTTTTTTTTTTTTTTTTTTGAGAGATAGGGTCTCACTGTTGCTCTGACTGGTCTCCAACCCCTGAGCTGAGGCCATCTACCCCCCCTGCCCCCCTGGGGTCTCCAAAAGTGCTAGGATTACAGGCGTGAGTCACCACACCCGGCCTCTATTTTGATTTTTAATGGAGGTTACTTCCAGTCAATTAAATGTGTAAGAATTAAATGTTACAATTAGCGAATGGGAAAGTTAAGCCCTTAGATACATTTGTGTTTTGTATGAAGAACCCTAGACTAGTGACTGATTCAGAAGGCTTACTGTAGGGGAGGGAGAGGAGAGAGAGGGATGAAGTCAAAGGCAGAGGTCATCTTATTTGTTTCACAGGGTGGATCTGCTTTGTCTAGGCAAGTTGGTGTAGCTTCATAGGTATTTGGACGGTATGTCAATATAGTTTTATTTAGCACTTACTCTGTGTCTCTTGCTATTCTGGGATACCAAAATGAATAACAGGCAGTCTCTGACCTCACAGAGTTCAAAGTCAATGGGGGAAGAGAATATGGAAAGGTAAATAGCAAAATTATATATATTAGAGAGTGAGAATGTTACAACATGGTTACATAGGACGGATGGAGAGGGGAATACAATTTGAGATACGTGGCTTGGAGTAGCCTCTGTGCGAAGGTGGTTTTTAATAATTCCCCCAGTATATTCTGTGCTGTCTGGTCAGGATGGGCTGTGCCACACCCGAGTGGCACTTTTCCTTACAATCATAGAGGTGTTGACACTATGAACAGTCTCCATGTAGGAGGTACTCCTAACCTGGTCACACCAGAAGGTACTTGCTAAGAGTCCTTGTGCCACCTGCCTCTGCTTACCAGGGCCTTAAGACGCCTGGCACCTACCTGATGGAGATTTTTAAATTTGTGTTTAAATGAATGAGGTAATGCTTTTGACAAATCAGTTGATGAGAATCTGCCTTTTATCAGAAGAAATTTAACCCAAATTCAGGGGACACAAGAGGTGTCGTTTTCATTTATTTGTTTTTATTTTCCCTGTGGTACTCTTCGTGGGAATTTAGTAGTTAAGAGCACATTCTTTATGAAGGGATAGCTATAGATTTAAATCCTACCTTTGCCATTAATTACCATTACTCCTACCTCTGCTGTCAATTTAGACCTTGGACAAATCACTTAAAATGGGTGGACCTCAATTTTTCCCATCTGCAAAATGAGAACAATAATATTTATCTTATTGGATGTTTTGGTGAGGTTCCTACAAGTTATTGTTAAGAAAAAAGGCAAAAACATATTCTTGTAATCGTAGCAGTCTGGGAGGCTGAGGCAGGTAGATAGCTTGAACTCACGAATTTGAGACCAGCCTGAGCAAAGGTAAGACCCCGTCTCTACTAAAAATAGAAAAACTGAGACAAGAGAATAGCTTGAGCCTGAGCTGGAAGTTGCTCTGAGCTATGACATCATGGGCGACAGCTGGAGACTCTGTCTCAAAAAAAAAAAAAAAAAAAGGGCTAAAATAAAAAAGGTTGACGTGGAGATAAATCAGTACCCCCCCAAATTAAAATGCATACACGTGTGTATTTGTAATATACATGCACCCACAAACCTGTATACAAAGGAATATGTAAAAACAGTAGGAAATTAGAAAGAAAAGTGTGTTTACCCTGAAAAGTAGAAAAGTAGCAAGGGAATGTGGGAGCCAAGGAAAAAAAAGAGAAGAAAAATGTTTTATTTACAAAAATTATGTATATTGACTAATTTATGTATTTATGTAAGATTGGATATAGGTAAGTAATATAAAATATATTTAAAATAATACCAATGTCAATAAGTTGTTATGAACATTAAATGAGCTATGAATTATTATTATTTAATTTCAGATTAATAGAAGGGTACAGATGTTTAGGTTACACTGTTTTCCTTTCTAAGTTCAAGTTCAAGTTGTAGTGAGCGTTTCACCTGGGGCCGTGCTGAACACCCTCACCCTGTGCACGTTAGGGACATGAACGATTAAAAGCCCAGTGGCTACTTAAGTCGTTGTGGACTATAGTAGCTAACATAAAAATCCTGCCTTGTACTGGTTTTCTGGAATCAAATTTGATAGTTTAAGGAGGGGGAACTAAACAAATATATTGCTGTTATTTTGTGATAATTTTTTAATTTTACATTTGAACAGTTTTTAAGGATTAAGACTGATACTGTAAATATACATGGGGATATCATTTTGTGAACTTGGATTGAAAAAAGATTGTTTTTGTAGTAATTGAAGAACACAGGTGCTTTGTGTTTGGGTACACATGCACACACATGCATGTAAATTAGAAATTACAGACCTGATGAGTGAGGTGAAGGTCGCTCTCAGTGTGCATATTGTCATGGCAGGAATGAGGCTGGATGGGCCAGGGGACTTCACACCATCTTTCCCCGTTCTTGACAGAAGAAGGTCTGTTGACTATTTGGGAAGAAACCTGACTTGGTTTCTTCCTCTTTTTATTCTGGGAATCGAAGGGAGAAAAGTAGCATCTCTTTCTTTTCAGCTCCAACAGCTTCTCTTAGCCTTTATTCTTCTGTGAAAAGATGCATCTCTGCTCCTCTCTCTTTAATTCCACATCCTGCTAGTTTCACCTTCTCTTTCTTGTCAGTTTCTCTGCCTCCTTTTTTCCAATAATATATAAGTCTTATGATATTGCTGCTTTATTTTTCCCCTGCAAGAAAAATCCCCCCCCCCCCCGCTTTTTAAAACAAAATGATCTTCTCATTCTCTGTTGAGGCTACAAACTGAAAGGGAGGAATCCCCAGTGGGAAGGCATTGTGAGCTGTATTTCTAGTCTAATCCCCTCATGTTGTGACGCTGTGAAAACTGAAACCGTGACAATGAGAGAAATGACATTGACAGCGAGAGGTACTGAACCCTGGTCTGAAAGAGGCAGAGAAATGAGCAATGTCTGGGCCCGAGAAAACGGATCTGGAGGAAAGCAAGTCAGGGTGGCAGAGGAGGAAAAGGCCGTTGTTGGACACGTGTCCGGGTTGGAGTCTCCGCAGTCCCCTGAGGCGGGCTTGGTTATCTCCCTGTCTCATGCAGAGGGGACAGAAGGCAGCAGAGGGCTCACCCGCATTGCCCACGGCTTAGAAGGTGGAGTGAGGGGCGGGGGCAGTGCTGACCGCCCCCCAGGCCGGGTCTCTGCGGCTCAGGTGACCGAGGGCAAAGCCCAGCTCGTTCTCTGACTCGTGACGGGGTGATTGGTCTCAGCCCTGATTTTTCCAGCTCAGTGCCTCGTGCCAAACACCGTGAGGCTGTGGCTGCAGCTGCCTCCGCTCGGGGCCGTGGGGGTGGGAGCCCGCGCTTACCGGGCGGCAGGTACAAACGCGGCCCTTCAGCCACACACGACTGAACGGTTCAGGAGGCAGGAGAGCTCCTCAGGCCCGTGGGCTCACTCACCAGGACAGGGAACCCGTTTTCTTGGTGGCCTTCTCGATTGGCTCAAGAACCAGGTGCTGGCAACCACCAGGAGGTCACACCTCTCTCCTGACTCTCTGGGATACTGAGAAGAGCTCCTGGGTAGTGGTCCCCCTCCCAGGGTGACAGTGTTTACATCATTCTGAGATTTATAGTGAGAGATCGTAGACCCAAATTGCTAGTTTTATGTTTCTCACAAGACCACATAAATACACTTTCTTCTATGCAGCCCTAAAGAAAGATGGAGACTTTGCCTCCTTCATGTTTACATGGATGGAGCTGGAAAATGTTCTTCTTAGCAAAGTATCACAAGAATAGAAGAAAAAGTATCCAATGTACACAGCCCCATTATGAAACTAATTTATAGCTTTCATATAAAAGCTATAACCTAATTATAGCCTAAGAATATGGGGAAGGGGGTGGGGAGGGGAGGGGGTGGATAGGTGGAGGGAGGGTGATTGGAAGGATCACCTCTACCACTATCTTACCACCTTGTAAGATGGTTTATCTTACAAGGGTACAAGTGAATCTTTCTAAAAGTAGAATATAAAGATCTTAACACAATAACTAAGAAAATGACATAAAGGCTATGTTAACCAGTTTGATGAAAATATTTCAAATTGTATATGAAAACACCACATTGTACCCTATGATTGCATTAATATACACAGCTATCATTTAATTAAAAAAATACACTGTTTCTCTAAGGTTGATATTTGTTAAATGATTCTGTCATCTGTATTAATAGGGAATCAGCCATCATCATAGGTAGTTAATGGTTTAGTTCCAGGCACAAGATATCGGTGGAAAAGCACATTTTTGAACTATAATTATTCATATTTATGGAAGCTCCTCCTGTAGTTTGAATTTATGTAAGATTTGTACATGTAAAAATATAGTTCTCAATTTATTTTTAAAGTTTTCTCTCCCTAGGCTGCTCTTTTCCTGAGAGTCAGTATAAATTTTGGGAGCAGTAGAATAACTATCATTATTTCCTGCATTTTTATCTGGTAGAGAAAATTTAAAAAATTTGAAGATGGTAATGAAAGTCTGATGGTTTCATGTAGGGTCGAAATTGGTTGCTATTTCCCGCCTTGTGGTAAAAAGTGACCCAGAAATGACTTTTCTTTTTAAATGAGAATCTTTGACCAACAGTTCCAACAGAGTTGAGGACTATCCTTCACGTGCATAAAATAATTACCATTACCTTTAAGATTGTTCCAGTTTGGGGTTATTCAGTTCGTTGTGCTGAATAAACCCTCCAGAATCTAGTTGTTTCGATTTTCTTCTGCACACCCTATGGTGGTAGCCTGAAAACATCTGCTGTCTCCAATTCTAGAAGGTTGACTGAGAACGTTTCACACTGGCAGTTTCACTCTGGCAGCTTCCAGGCAGGACAATGGTGATTCCTATAATCAGCTAACCTGGTGTACAGTGTTCCGAGCCTTTTGTTCTGGAGCTGAGTAAATAATGCTTTGCATTCCAGCCCTTTGCTCCATGCCATCAGTAGCATACCTCGAGACCGCTTTTTTGGCAGTGTGTTAATGAATGTTTTGTTGAACCCTTTTCATCTCTCAAGGACTGAAATATCTGATTTAATCTCAGTGGTGCTTAAAATAAACTTTTGTGGCTGAGTTTACTCAAGCTCTTATTTGAAAGCTATTCTTCTAGGCAGACCCAGAGCTAAGGGCTGCTGGCTTGTTGGCCCACTGCTAGTTGAGCCTGGGGTCCCCATGGAGCCCTTGTCAGGCTTCTTTTCTTTTATTAAATCATAACTGTGTACATTAATGTATTTATGGGGCACAATGTACTAATTTGATATACAATGTGGAAAGCTTACATTAGACTTGTTAACATAACCATCGCCTCACTTATTTGTTGTGGGAAGACATTTATACTCCACTCTTAACAGTTTTGAAATGTACCATTGCATTATGCACATTAGGGGAGGTCCCCCCAAATACCCTCCCTCCTCCCAACCTGTCCCCCCTCCTCTTCCCTTCTTCTTTCTGGACCATAGTTTTGTTTTATCATTTGTATGAATGTGTAGGTGATTATATATTGGTTTCATAATACATTGGATACTTTTTCTTCCATTCTTGAGATGCTTTACTGAGAAGAATATGTTCCAGGTCTATCCAGTAAACATAAAAAATGGGAAGTCTCCATCCTTGTCAGGGTTCTTGACTCCTGACTCATAACAGGAGTGTCTCTGGACACTCTCGATAGTAGGTGGATTTCAGGTCAGTGATTTTTGTGGGTTTTCAAATTAAATAACTGGCTGAGTGGGTTGCTCTGGCGAGAAGTTTCTTTGAGTAGGGGAGAGTGAGGGCGTCAGGAGAAGACAGATGTCAGCCTGACCCACTCCGCCATCCGCTCCGGTCCAGATCTCGCTGGACTGCACCCTCTGAGGGATCAGGGGCACATCAGGGTGTCGTGGGCTCCAGGGAATATCTAGAGAGTGAAGCCAACAGTGGTGGAAAGGTTGTGTAAATCTTAAGCTAAAAATTTCCATTTTCTTCATTCTCTTCCTTAGGATTGTCTTATAGCGGAGATGGAGGATAAAGTTTTAACTGTGGTATGTATGCGTTCTAAAGGTTATTCTGAAATTCCTTTTTTCCAAGGCAGTGGGAATCACATTAATTGAAATATATGCACTGTGGCTGATTGCTTCAGGTGATACATTGAAATATTGGCTTTTGGTAGAGGAGTCTGTTAATTCGGGTGGAAGGGAAAGCATAAAAATTGTTTTACAAGTGAAAATACCAAGCTTCTATTAGCTCTGTTGAATGCTCTGTTTTGTTGTATTTTGTTTTTTCCTTTTGAACATTTTATCAGGGTATAATTATATGTAAATTGTTAGCCAACCTGTTAATCAGGGTTAAACTGATGTGCAAATTTCACTTTAAGACCATTTTGATTAAAAAAAAAATTCTTGGCTGAAACCTCATGATGGAGGGGGGAGTGTGCTCTGACTGTTTAAAAAGCATTTTGTAACCATTCATCATCACTTCCTCCTTTTGACATAAGCCAGCCTGTGCTCTTTTGATAAGGCTTTCCTCCTACTGAGGTTGAGGAATTAAGCAATGAAATTGCTATAAATATATTTTCCATAAATAGGAGGCTAAACAAATTGGAGGAATGTAAAAAAGTATCACTTCTTGGATTCTCCCCCTTGGAAAGAAAAATCATTCTGGAATTTCCTGATTTGTTGGCTTGTTAAATTTTGAAAGGTTAGATGGGTCTGATTGGGGGAAAGGGCACGTGTAACCACTGTGACTTCTTCAGAGACCACTTATTCGGGATCCTCACGGTGCCTCTTTAGAGTTTTACCCCATCAGTGTTTAGTATTCAGAGAATGTGAGTGGTCTCTAAAACCACCAGAGACCTAAATGTAAAATGCAAAACTACAAAACTTCTAGAACAGTGGTTCTCAACCTTCCCAATGGCGTGACCCTTTAATGTAGTTCCTTGTGTTGTCGTGACCCCAACCATAAAATTATTGTTGTTGCTACTTCATAACTATAATTTTGCTACTGTTCTGAAACATAATGTAAATATCTGATATGCAGGATGGATTTACGTGACCCTTCTGAAAGGGTCGTTTGACCCCCAAAGGAGTCATGACTCACAGGTTGAGAACCGCTGTTCTAGAAGACAACGTAGGAGAAGATTTGGGTGAAGATTTTTGGGGTTTGGCAATGATTTTTTTAGATAGAACATCGAAAACGCAAACCATGAGAGAAAAATTGATACTGTAGACAAAAAGTCTGCTCTGTGAAATGCAGCAGTAAGATAAAGAAAAGACAAGCCTCAGACTGGGAGAAAATATTTCCAAAGCATGTATCAGAAAAAGGACTTGTATCCAAAATACACAAAGAACTCTTAAAACTCAATAATAAAACAAACAATCCTATTAAAAAGGGGGCAAAAGATCTGAACAGACGTCTCACCAAAGGAGACATACCAATGGTAAATAAGCTTATGAAAAGATGCTCTATGTCATCTGTTATTAAAGAGCTGTCAATTAAAACAACAAGAAACCACTGCACATCTCTTAGATTGGCTGAAATCTAAAACACTGACACTACCAAATGGTGGCAAGGATGTGGGGCAGCAGGAACTCTCGTTCATAGCTGGTAGAAATGCAAAGGAGTACAGCCAGTTCCAAGGACAATTTGGCCGTTTTCTACAAAGCTAAACATATTCTCACTATCGACTCCAACAGTTATGCTTCTGGGTATTCATCCAGAGGAGATGAAAACTGACTTCTAAAAATCTCCAACGAATGTTTATAGCAGCTTTACTCACAATTGCCAAAAATTGGAAGCAACCCAAATGTCTCTCAGTTAGGTGAATGGATAAATAAATTATGGTACATCCATAAAATGGAATGTTATTCAGAAATACAAATGAGCTATCGAGTCATGGACAGATATGGGAGAAACTTAAATGCGTATGTTCAATTGAAATAAGCTGATCTGAAAGGGCTGTGTGCTCTGTAATTCCAACTATTTGACATTCTGGAAGAAGCAAATCCGTAGTGATAGGGAAAAGATGACTGTTTGGCAGGAGTTCACAGGGAGGGAGAGGTGATGGATAATTAGGTTGAGCAGGAGATATTTTTAGGGATATTTGAAACTATTTTGTATGATACTGTAATGATGGATGCATGAGATTAGGCGTTTGTCAAAACCCATTGAATGTAAAGGTGAACACACCTTGTAAATTATGGACTTTAATTAATTATAATGTCTCAGTATCATTAATTATAACAAACGCCCCATACTAATACAAGATATTACTAATAAAGGAAACAGGGGCTGGGGTGGTGGTGAGCAGAGTACATGGGAACTCAATAAACTTTTTGCTCACTTTTGGGATAAACGTAAAACAAATTTAAAAAGTAAAGTATTTAAAAAAATGGTTCAGTTCCTCAAAATTTATCTTATCAATATTTGGTATACAGAGAAGGTGAATGGTCACTAAGAAGTTACTCAGGTGGCTGGGGATGGGGGATTCTCCTTAACTGCTGGAAGGGGTTTCTGTCTGGCCTGTGATGTCCAGTGGTTGCAAAGGAGTTAAGGTAAAGGCTGTACTCTTTAAGCAAAGCTGAAATAGCGGCACCATTTTCACAGATTGCACATACGGAGTCCAAATACCATGTATTCCTGGAGCAGAATTATCAAAATGTTTGCTGACCAGAACTAAAGATTATAGGTGGTGAAGTGCATTTCTTTAAAAATGGGTTTGAGATAAACCTGGTTAATGATTGAACTTTCCTGACTATTTACCTTTCTAATTCTAGGTCAAAGTTTTAAATGGCATCTGTGACAAAACAATCCGATCTACCACGGACCCTGTTATGAGCCAGTGTGCATGCCTGGAAGAGGTTCACTTACCAAACATTAAACCTGGGGAAGGCTTGGTAAGTTCTAATAAGACTTGCTTTATTTTCAGATAACACACACTAAATGTTTTTACTACAAATTATCATTTACTAATTTTTTTCCACTCCTTATTGCTTTCACTATAATTCTGAAAAGTGGAATTAGCCTCCTTCCCATCATGTACTCCGGAATTTGCTATCTTTGAACTCTTTTGATATGTTTTCTATCTTCAAAGCGTAAACATAAAGACAATTTTAAAACTGTATGCTCATATCTTGAAGGAGTGGTTTTTACAGTTTTATTTTTAGGACTTAGCAAAGAGATATAAATTCAAGGAGATATAAAACATTTACCCAAAAGAAAGATGGTCTCTGGGCACAAAAGCAGTGTCTGCTCTGAAAGTCTTTATTGGTACTTAGGACGAATGTGAGAGGAGGCAGGCTGAAGGAAGTGATTTTTTTTTTTTGAGACAGAGTCTTACTTTGTCACTGGGCAGAGTGCGGTGGCATCATGAGAGCTTGCAGCAACCTCAACCTCTTGAGCTCCAGCAAGCCTCTTGCCTCAGCCTCTCAAGTAGTGGGGATTATAGGGGCTTGCTACAATCCCTGGCTAGTTTTTACTATTTTTAGTAGAGATAGGGTCTTAACTCTTGCTCAGGCTGGTCTTGAACTCCTAAGCTCCAGTGATCCTCCTGCTGTGGCCTCCCAGAGTGCTAGGATTACAGGCCTGAGACATCCCTCTGGCCTGAAGGAAGTGATTCTTACGAAAAGTTTAGAAATGTTTCATAAGCAATATGAGCTGTATAATTACCGATCCTTAGAGTATAGACAGGTGAACTTATGGGATTAATTTGCTGAAATTTAAATGAAGAAACCACGAGGCCCGTTAATTAGCTTAGAGGCTTTGAGTCGAGAGTGCTGGGTTTAAATCCCAACTCTCAAGGGATTTCAGTTCTTTACATGTGGTTTTCTCACAGGGCTGTTGAAGGAACGAGACTGGGTCATGAATGCTGAGCCACAAGTGCATGTAGGTCCTGTGCATTAATGTGGCTTCAGCGACGGCTGCTGGCGATATGAGGAGTATGTAGGTCCTGTGCATTAATGTGGCTGCAGCGACGGCTGCTGGTGATGGTAGTAGGAGGAGCATGTAGGTCCTGTG